TCATAGGGAATAAGAGCTCTTCTGAACAGTCTTGGAAGGGCTGTTTGTAGCAGTTGAAGGCTGACTGCTCAGTGCTGCTCTGGCCTAGCTTGTAATTAAAGACTCCACGCAAAGCACTTCCAACAAATTACCCACCCCACCCCACCCCCAGCAACTCTAGCTGGAAATAGCTCAGGACAGGGAGGAAGGGAGTTGGGGCAGAAGGGACTGGGTGAAAACAGCTGCGACGACTCTGTGCTCACAGATCCCAGGGTGAGCCCACCTCTGCAGTAACAGACTCCTGTCCCCTGTGGCGGACTTGGGGGGCAGGGTAGATAGGAATAAGCAAATCTGGCAGAAAAGCTGCTCTCTCCCAGGAGCAGAAAGAGGAAGAGGCTACACTGTGGGAAGTGAGAATAAGCAAAAATGGGATTGTGTCCAACGTACCCTGGAACCTGGCGCTGGGGAGAGTCTTGTACCCTCCAGAGCTGAAAAGGAAGCGCCAGAAAGCTGGGATGGGATTGAGAACCCCTGTAGTTCTTAGACCCCATTAACTCCTAAGTGTTCACTGCAATTTCCCTGAGGAAAGCCCTGCTTTTGATGTTTTCGTTGAAAGATTCTAATAAGGGACCAGCAGATGGCATAATGGTTACATCGCTGGACTCCAACGTAGTCGACTGGTGTTCGAGTCCTGGACCCGGTGGCTTGAAACTCATGCTGGGCACGTGTGCGTGTGTGCACAAGATCCCGAGAGGAGAATGGGGGAGAAGGGATTGCGGAGTGGCCATCTCCCCTGGGGGGGGGTGATTTCTCACTTTCTGTCTCTCTGTATCTCTCTTGTCTTTCTGTCCAGTGCACATGCCCTATAGCAAAAATCTTTCTTTAAAAAAAAATAGAAAGAAAAGAAAGATTCTAATAAGAGGTGTGTTCAGGGGTGGGGAAGCCTCCTTATGTTGGTCTCTCCAGGCAGCACATGGACCGCACGCCCTGTTCTCAGCTGCACATGCGCATGTGTCCTGTCTTTTCTTGCCACCACCCCAGAGTCTGACAGAGAATCCCCTCCTCCCTCCTCCCTCCTCAGAAGGGTCTGCACTTGTCTGCCAGAGTTGCCGCCGTAATGTTCCGTGGTATCTGAAAGGTGTTTGTTCCAGGCCTTTCCGCAGATTCCAAGTCTGCAGATGCTCAGTCCCTCGTGTAAGATGGCCTGGTGTTTGTGCATACCCTGCCAGCCGTCTCCGGTTACTTACAGCACCTCCCAGGCTGGGAGCGTGCTGGACAGCCAGGGTGCTGGACTGGCGAGGGAACACCGGCAGAAGCTCCGTCCGCGCATGTTCAATACAGATACGACCAGTTTCTTTCTTTTTTTTACAATATTTTTGACCCGCAGTTGGTTGAATACATGGATGTAGAACCGGCAGTTACAGAGGGCTGACTAGCCCACACACAGTGGCTTAACCCGGAGAAATGCATTGTCCGACAGTTCTGGGGTCCAGCAGTCAGAGTTCAGTTCAGGTTGTCAGCAGGGCTGCTTCCTTTCAAGGACTGTGAGGGAGAATCTGTCCCAGGCCTGTCCCAGAGCTGCTGGTGGGTTGCTGGAGACATTTTCTTTTCTTTTTCCCCAGTTGGTAGACGGTGCATGCCCTGGCCTAAGAGAGAAAGAGAGCAAGGAAGCCCCTTACAGAGGGGTGGCCACATCACAACCTCTTCTCCATTCTTTTTTCGGGGGGCATCCTGGCCACACATGCACCTGGCATGTTCCTCAAACTGCTGGGTCCGGGCCTTGACCCGTGCTGTGAGCCATGTGGGATCTGGCTGCCTTGCTCACCGTGCCACCAGCTTGCTCTGCCTGCTGGCGATCTCTGACGTTCCTCAGCAGATGCATCACCTCCGCCTCTGCTGTCCTCATGAGCATGAGGCTCTCCCGCCATGCATCTGTCTCCTTATCCCTCACGTGGCTCTCCCGCCATGCATCTGTCTCCTTATCCGAACACCCCCCTTGTAGAAGGTCATCAGTCCTTGAACGGAGAGTCCACCCTGCTCCAGGGGGCCATCTTAAGTGCGTATGTCTGCAATGACCCGGGTGCTAGAGAAGATCACATCCTGAGGTTCTGGGGGTCAGGTTCTCAGCGTCTGAATCTTGAGGCGATCTGGTCAGCCCATAACTCTGCCCTTCGGAATCCCAGCCTTTCACCAGGTCTGTGGTCTGCAGCGGCAGCCGCTGCAGCCCCGTGCCCTCACTGGCCTACGGGAGGACCGTAACCTTTACCAGGGCTATTCATAGCTGGCCTGTGTTCTTGCACCTGGCTTGTGCTGCTCTGCTCCTGGGCGTGGCTGCCTTCATCATTGCCAGTGGCCTCTGCCAGCATAGTGACAAGCAGTGTAGACAAGGTCAGGACTGTCTCCCCACAGGTCCTGCCCAGTGGACAATCGCGGATCGAATGAAAACAAGTGTCTAAAAAATAGCAGCAATACTCCTGGAGGCCACATTGTCACAGTCTAACACCCAAGTGGGCCCTTCGTGTGATTAAGAACCCCTCCACCCGGCTCTCGGTCTCTGCCAGCCGAGTTCGTGTGTGTCCAGGCTCACCTCACTGCCAAGCACTCTGGGGCTCCCCCTCCCCACTTCCCAGGTCAGGTCAAGCCTCCGCTAATCCGCTTTCCTTCCATGTACAGCTTCTGATCCAAACGACAGGGACATTCAGAAGCCTCCACAGCCCCTGCCCTGACTAATCTTCCCCCAGGCTCTTCTCTTTCTGTCTCCTGGATTTCTCCTCTTGTCTCCTAGGTGACGCTGATGGCCCTCCACACTGGCACCTGTGCCTTTCGCTCTTGGGCATTGGCCCGTCCTCGGAGGACATGCCAGCCTCTCCTCCGCCCTTGTTTCTCTCTGCAAACTGCGCCCATCCCTGGCTTATCCCCAAGAGTCACTTTACTGGCACCTGGGCCCACTGGGACTTCCACCTGTGCCTTCCAGGATCCCAGACACCATCTGTAAGACCTCACTTATCCAAAACTCCCAGAATGCAAGACAAATTCCGCCAAGGACAGAGGTCACTTCTTTTTACCACTTAACGTGGTAACACGTCGTTCCCCAACTTTGAAGTGTGGAGGGGATTCTTTTACTTAACAGAGTTTACTCATTTATTCCATGCAGGAGAGAGAGGCAGGGACAAGGAGACATTACTCCCAGCAGGGTCTTAACGCCGGTGCATCCCTCAGCGTCAGCCGGCCCAGCTCATGGGTACACATACTCCTGGTGTCCTCACGGAGGACTCCGGATGGGGACCGGCCACCTTCTCATGTGGCTCTGCCTCTCACAGTGTCACATTTTACTGCCATACTGCCATCCGGCCCCAGGATTCTTATTAGTTCATGTAAAATTAGATGGTCTGTGCTCTGGCTCTATTTTGATTTCAAAAAAGCATCTGTGGTCGTTGAAGATGTTAATATCCACAGTTATAAGAGAATGAAAACAGGGTGAACAGCTAGAGTGCTTGTCAAGCTCTATGAAGAACACAAAGATTATTGTTTTCATTTGTAATCGAAAACTTTCGCAATGAGGGAGAAAACAGCTCAACATTTTAATCTTTATTGATGCAGTTTTTTTCTCTTTTTAAAAGTTGATTTCTCTGGGCCGGCAGGTGGCATAGTGGTTAAGGACGCTAGACTCCCACACAACTGACCGTGGTTCAAGTCTCAGACCTGACGGCTTGCTTTTTTGCTTTCTCTTTCTCTTTCACTCTCTCTCCCTCTATCTCTGTCCCTCTCTGGTCAAGTTAAAAAAAAAAAAACCCTACATAAATAAAATAAAGTTAAATAAAATAATTATTAAAAAATAGTTTATTCCTCAGAGGCCAGCAGCAGATGGCATAGCAGTTACATCTTTGGACTCCCACATGACAACCATGGTTGGGGTCCTGGACCCAGTGGTTTCAAACTCATGCTGGGCGCACGTGCATGTGTGCCCAAGATCTTGGGAGGAGAGTGGAGGAGAAGGAATTGTGGCATGACTGTCTCCCCTGGGAGGTGATTTTTCACTTTCCCTCTCACTGTCTCTCCCCAACATCCCCAGCGAGTGCTTGTGCCTTAAGGTAAAAAAAAAAAAAACAAAAAACCTCTATTTTAAAAACAAGGTTTATTTCTGTCATTGTCCATTGTCCAGGACTGTACCCAGAGCTACCACTCTAGCCAAAATGAAACAAAAGCACCGGCAGGCCAGCAGGTGGTATGGAGGTTAAGGTGCTGGATCACACATAGCTGATAGTGCCGTTCAGTCCCAGACCCAGCAGCTGGAAAATCACACCGGGCACACGTGCATGCATGCCCAAAACCCAAGAGGAGAATGAAGAAGGGAATGTGGCATGACCATCTCCTCTGGGAGGTGATTTCTTTCTCTCTCTGTTTCTCTCTGGCTAGTGCATGCACCCTATGGCATAAAAAGTAAAGTAAATAAATAAAATAAAAAAACACTGGTAAGTCCACTGTTAAGTTTTTCATTGAAAAGGCACATTAACATGTAGACATTTTTCTCTTCGTTAAATAACCAAGAATAGGCATAAACATTTAGCTGTAAACCTATCTGTCCAACATTCTTTTATAATTTCAAAATGACAGAAACCACCTAAACATGCAGGAATAACAGGCTGAATAAGTTGATACCGAGTCAACTTTCGATTATTTGAAAGGAAGTCAAGGACTTACACTGAAGAAGCACGTCATGGAAAGACGCTCATGGTTTATAAAAGAATATACGGAGTACTGACCGCATCTTTATGTCCAAACACTCCTGCTCGCCTGTCCCAGACACCCTCAGAGAACGGGGCTAAGAGATGAGAATTCTTACCGTGGCCTCCTGTGGGCGGAGGAGTGAGATTATAGATGTTTTCTTCCATTTGCTTATCTCAGTTTTCTAATTGTTTTTACAATGCATACATGTTGCATTTGAAGTCATGTTTCAGCTCCTGGGGTAAAAGCACTTACAGATACTAAACATGGCGGTGCATTCCTCTGCCCTTTTGCAGCTTACAGTGACCTAGGCTACTACATCATCAACAAGCTGCACCACGTGGACGAGTCGGTGGGGAGCAAAACAAGAAGGGCCTTCCTGTATCTCGCTGCCTTCCCTTTTATGGATGCGATGGTGAGTGGACAGCATAGAATGGACCGTTTTAACCGTGGTGTGTACAACTCAGTAACATGGTGTGCTACCAGCCTGCAAAACTTTCTCATCCTGCAAAACACTGCGTGCTCATCACACAGTGCTCCCTTCCCCCTCCCTGCTCCTACCAATGCCATTTGGCTTTTTTTCTTTTAGATTTTTGCTTCAGGGCATGCGTACTCGCTGGAGAAAGAGAGAAAGTGATAAACCGCCCCCCCACAGGGGATGGCCACACTGTAATCCCTTCCCCTCTTCGGATTTTGGGCATGCATGTGCATGTGCCTGGCATGTTTTTCAAGCTACTGGTCCAGGACTTGAACCGTCATAGATCATGAGAGGAAATCCACTGTCTCTATCACCATGCCACCTGCTGGCCCTCATTCTGCGTTGTGACTTGTATGAACTTGACTAGTTTAGATACCTCATTGCGTGTAGAATCGTGCAGAATTTGTCCTTCTGTCACTAGCTTATTTCACCAGCAGGGCATCCGTGTGGTAGAGTACGTCAGCCTGCCCTTCCGTTTTAAGGCTGGGTAACGCTCCAGTGCATGCACACGCCACGTCTGCCTACCTGTTCATCCGCCGAAGGGCACTCGTGTCACATCCACCTTCGGACTGTTGGAAACAACAGCACTATGAACATGGGTGTGCAGGTACCTCGAGTCCCTGCTTTCAGTTTTTGGAGAATATACCCATCAGTGAAATTGCTGGACCATTCGGTTATTCTCTTCTTCACGTTTGAGGACTCGTTGCCCTGATTCCCACAGCAACTGTCCCCACAGGGATGTTTCACATCCCCAGCAGCAGTGCGTAAGATTCCAGTGGAACATGGACTTTCAGCCAGTCCACTGTCTCCACTTAGCTCGTGAGAATTGTCTGTGTTTGCCACGGATCTGGTGTGTGGCAAGAGCGCCCCTGTGAAAAGGTCTTTTCTATTATACTCACCACCAAAAGATCAGGATAGCTTTCCGATGAACACCCGAAGTTTCAGCGCAAAATCTCTTGACTCTCCTGATAGGACTTCATGGCTTCAGCAGGTCAGCTCGGGGCCGCTTACCTCCGTAAATGCTTTATGATACTAAAGAGTTCTTAGACAATGCTTTTTTTCCCTTTCCACTGTGTTATAGATATAAAGGGGACTTAGCAAAGTAAGAGTAATGTCCAATGCTGGAGCATAAACCTTTTTTTCGGGCTCCCGTGTAACTTACTCTTGGGGCCAACCAGTAGCTGTGGTGGTGAAGGCAACTGGATTCCGTCTGGCTGGCTGTGCAACTGAAGTCCTAGACCCAGCAGCTTGGGAAACATGCCAGGAGCATGTGCGTGCGTGCCCCAAATCTTGAAGGGAGGGAGAAATGAAGAAGGGATTGCAGGGTGACCATCCCCCCTAGGGGGTGCTTTCTTTCGCTCTCTCTCTCTCTGGTAACTGCATGCACCCTGGAAAAATTTATTTTCCAAAAGTACATTGCAGACTCTGTATCCTGTATTCCACTTCTCTTTAGCTGTATTTATTTGCCTTGAGAGTTGCTAAAACTCAGTATAACACCAGAGTGTTTGTGATGGGTACTCTGTTCTTCTGTGTTTCTCTTCTAAATTGCTCCTGAAGACCTAAACACAACAGTAAGAAACAACCAGTGAAAACCAAAACAGAGAACATTATACGAGACAGGTAGTCTCCTCCTGCCCCTGCCCCACACCCTCGCACCACAGCCTCGATAGTTTGGTCGGAGAGAGAATATTTGAAAGCCGTGAAGCTTATCATCCGGACGGCCTAGGGTCGGCCAGTACACCACAGTGCTATTTACAAATGTTATCTGGAGTTTGCCTTTGTTCTCAGCAACCTGGGATCTATGGGTCGAGGAGGGAAGCAGAAGTCACAGCTGCTATGTAGAGTCGACGCAGACGAGGGGACAGATCACGCTTGCCTGGTCGGCTCTGGTGAAGCGCTGTGTGTGTCAGTCCATAGTGGCCTTTAAGAAGGGTGATTCTTAAACAGATCCTGTCAGGAACTTCAGACCCTCTCCAAAGCTGCAGTGCCCAGGACTTTTCACCATCTGTCCCCTTACAGGGACTTTCCTCTTACTTTCCCTAGAAAACACAGTGTCAGATCGGGTCTTGCCCAGACCTGAAGTGAGAGGATAGCAGATCCCTCGTCAGTCTGTGAGAACTTGTAAGGACAGTACTAACTCAGAACTGAATGATAGCCCTCATTATGGCACGCTTCGTACAGGGAGAAGCTGCTGTGTCATGGCGCCCTCTGCTCTGAGAGGGCCTAGGTTTCCTCCAGGCTTGGTTTTTACTCCGCTCTCCTGCCAGGCATACAAACCCATGGAGCTCACAAGTCCACATGTGATTGGTACTAAATAAACATGTGTAG